AAAAAAAAAAAAAAAAAAAAAGGATAAAGCAAGGATAAAATAGGCTTAAGGCTGGTGAAATTTAGGACACACTTTTCTGCGTCTGCGTATGGAAAGTGAACTTACTTCTAATAAAGATCTAAGACTTAGTAAACCAAAGAGGAAAAACTGCATTTAGTCTCTTTCTCCCTTTAAATATAAATGCATTTCCTGTGTGAAAATTAAACCTTGATCTGAAGTCGGTTTCTCCTACAACCAGACAAAAATACAGCTCTTAAAATCTTAGGCCTCAGAAATTGAGCCTATGCACTTGAGTTATGTATGACTTATCAAAAAGTAAAAAGAATGCACTTGAAATATGCATCAGACAGATAGACTTGCTGGGATATGAAAAGTGTGCTTAACTGAACTGGTCTGTTTGAACTGCTAGTAAGGTCAAGATAATTGGAATTATGTTATAAAGTGGAAGATAGAGCCAGTATCGAAGTGGAATGAGTTATAGGGATGCTGATCCAAGATGTTTTGAAGACAAATATTACTATTTTCCTCTTAAAATCGCTTTGGAAGTGTCAGTACAATTGGTTCAATTCTGTTGGGTTCTGGAAACCTCTCCACCAATTAAGTATTTAAGAATCCAAACTTGAAGTTCGTCTTGTAGCCCAAACTTGTAAAAACTTGGCCTGCATATACTTATTAAGTTAGAGCCCCTTAATGAGATGCTGCTAAGCATATTGGGCTACCACTGGCTTGGATTTTGGTTTGTTGTTGTTATGCGTGGCATATCCAGGGAAAAGTTGGATGCTTACAACATTCCATATCCTCGCTGGTCATGACTAGTAACACATACTTAATCAACTGATCATGAATCGGGAATCGAATGGCATAAAGAAGGTTTGCACTCTCTGTTACTCTTTACTCTATCTCTGTGTGATTTTGAAACCATCAATTATATGTGGCCCGGTCAAGGAGTTTGAGAACCACCATTAAGACTTTGTTTTCATCCTCAACATGCTTATTTCTATTTAGTGGAAAGATTTTCGTTTGATTATGGTTTGTCTTGTTAACATATTAGTTTACCTCAATTCATCAAACAATTCTATGTAGGTGCAGGTATGTCGACTATAAGTGTTCCTTCAGGCTGTTTTCTCAAAGTTGCACCATCAATTAGATCCTCTGCCTTTACCAAGTCGCAATGCTCTTTGGGTTCCGTAAAGAGTATTTCTAAAGCATTTGGATTGAAGTCATCGTCCTCCTTCAAAGTCTCTGCAATGGCAGCGTACAAGGTTAAACTGGTTGGGCCCGATGGTAACGAGACTGAAATTGAGGTTTCCGATGATCAATACATCCTCGATGCAGCAGAGGAGGCTGGAGTTGAGCTGCCTTATTCATGCAGGGCTGGATCTTGCTGTACATGTGCAGGCAAGTTGGTTTCTGGAACAGTCGACCAATCCGAAGGTGCATTTCTTGACGATGATCAAATGGAGAAGGGTTATTTGCTGACGTGTATTTCATACCCCAGATCTGACTGTGTTATTCATACGCACAAGGAAGAAGAGCTTGTTTGAAAATGTTACGAGTTCATTCCGCTTCGAGGGGACCTTGAAAATTTAGAGGGGTACGAATCTTGTGTCGTAGACGCGGAAAAGAAACAAATAGAAATAAATGATGAAATTGGTATGCTGTCTCCCAGATAGTGATATTGTGTCTGGTTTATGGCATAACTGATGTTGCAATTTGTTATTTGGCAAACATCATATTGCTTTCTAAACTAAATATCCATTTGATCGCTGTTGAATTGGGATTATTGAATATGTGTGATGCTTTATCAGAGCCTGGTGTTTGTTCCATTTGGGTGGATCTTTTCTGTATGTAGGGCTGATAAATATTCAGAATTGGTGAGTGTAACAAGCTTATGTTTAGGATACCATATTTGATGGTCACCTCAAGATTGTTCTTATGTCCTTGCCCCTGCAGGGCTTATATATTAGGGCTCTGTTTGTCATAACATTTTGCTCTATTAAAAACAAAATATGGAAAAGGAAAAAACAAAAGGAACTCAAGAATCAATTAGGTTAATGAAAACAAGATTTCGGACTTGCTTGTGATATCTAAACATTAGTCGGATTTAGGGTTGCATGGAATGAGGAATCAGTCCATGATGCCAATTTGGCCATAAAATCATACTCCCTTCGTTTCGTTCCAGTTTATGTGAACATTTTTGGAATACGAAGTCAAACTGACTAATTTTCGATGTGAATTTGGACATCAAATTTTTAAATTTTTAAAAATAAAATTTACATATTTTAAAAACTTAAAAATATTATTAATAATTCAAAAATATTTGAAAAGTATTTCCAAAAAAGGTCAAAGAAAATCATATTTGACTCCCAAAATAATAACAGTGTCACATAAAGTAGGAGTATTTCAATATTTACTACTATTGGTTTGCCTATCAATATTTGAGATACCAGTGAAATAATAAGAAGTTGTTTGAGTAGTATTTCAAGTGAAATAATAGTAACAGTAAAAACTTGCTGGTGAAATTTTAACTTTTCTTTTTTCATTTTCAGCGTTAGGTACACTACTTAAACTTTGACTCGTTTCTTTTCAAAAGCAACAAAAGGTCTAACCCTTTCCATTGTCAACGTTTCTCCACTCAAAGGGTGGCTTGCTATTGCATTCAAAATCGCGTTGAAATTTGGTTGTGTTTCGATTACTCGTTACACATGTTTCATGACTTGATCGTGCATTTTATTGGCGCTAATAAATTAATTTTTTGAAATTCATATGCAAATCATTTTTGGTGTTTGGTTGGCCATAAAGTTCGAAAGTATGGAGTGAGGCAGGGCGACTCTAAAGGCTTGGAGTAAGGCCGTCACCTTAGGCCCCAAAATTTGAAAGGCCCAAATTTATTTTAAATCTTCTTCTTCTTATTATATATTATATAAATTATATAAATAATTAGTATAAAGAAAAGGGTTACAGTTTATTTTTTGTTATTTGATTGAGGTTATTTTATATCAATAAATTCATAAATTATGATGATTTTCTTTACTAATTAATTAGCATATTCGCTTCGGTCTTCAATTTTAATTTTATCCTTTTATATAGGAATTAAGTTATATATATCGACAACATAATGAATTTCTTTTATAATGTTCTCTTAAACTGCATGAACACAAAAGTATTCATGCACCGGTTTTCTTTTAGTGTAATTCGACATATTATATTAGGTTATTTATAATTTATTTTAGATATTAATCAATTAGTGCTACTTAATAGAATAAACTACAATTATCGTTTAAATTGTTCATAAGGAGTAAATATTTTTTGACATTGTTAATGCTCAAAACTTAAGCTATTACGTTATTTACCTCTATTTCTTTTTCTTGTTTGTGATGATAGCCAAATCAAAATTTGTTACCACTTTATTTTTTGTGCTCTTCTTCCTCTTTTTTTTTTTTTTTTTTTTTTTTTTTTTCTGAAATTCGCTTAGTTTTGTCTTAAACGATTAATTTATTAGTTAGAAAGTAAATTTTATTGTTAGTGTAAATATTTTATAAAATAAATTTAAGGGCCTCTCAATATGATTTCGTCTTAGGCCACGAGATCTATTGAGCCGTCCCTGGAGTGAGGTATGATAGTAGTGTTATAATGGCGTTAAGTAGTAATGTTCTATAATATTATTCACAAATTGATTGTAACAAGTGAATAAAAGAAGCTAATTATAGAAGAAAAATGATAATCTCATCAAGAAAAACATTTACGCAAAACTATTTTACATACCAAATACCTAGTTGAAAACAGGAAGAGATCGATTAAAAGGGGGGACAAAGAGAAAAAAGAACATTTTAGACATGGAGAAGTGACCCTATAACCTTTTATTATCTACTGCTCATTGTTTCTAGGGGTGAAGTTAGGATTTTTATTTTATGAGTTTTGGACCATAAACTTTTTAATTACTGGATTTATAGATTATTTATATATATTTAATAAATTTTTTAATACAAATACAAAATTTAAGTCAAAACAATTGAGTTCTGCCGAAACAGTAGCTATAGCCTTTAAGGCTGGCTCCGCCCCTATAGCTATAAGGTTGGCTTCGCCCCGGTTGTTTCCACCTTTCCTAATTAGAAAATTAAATTGGTATATCATGACTGATGCTGCGACTGACAGTATCATATAGAGGAGGAGGACGTGATTAAGCTTTTCGCAGAAACTGAATTCAGACGTTCGGTTTTGACGATGTTTTTTCCGGATTTCTGGTGACAAGAATATAATAATTTGAAATTTATTAAAAGAGAAAGCACTCTCTATTTAAAAAACATTTCTTAAACTGAACTCAAATTTGAGACCTCAACTCTAACTTTTTGTTTAATGGACAAACCCCAGTTCAATCATTCAACGTGACTAATATATAATCTTTCACCTACTTTGAGAATATCTTTCGTAATAAAATAACAAAACAGCTAGTGCCTAGTAGCATAACAAGCCAAACTCCTATTTATTTTTTCAAAATAAAACTAAATAATTCTCCCAACATATAGATAATCTCTATCGTAGAAAAATAATATAAAAAACTTCTTCGATTCAACATGCCAAAAACAAGTTCAGTTTAAACATAAAGTATAGAAAACTATGACTCTGACCTTCGACGGGTCGCCAACCGCTTCAGAACCGGAGAACCGGCCGGTTCAGAAGTCCGTACACTATCCACTCCTTTTGCTCCAGACCGGATGTTCAGTGCAGCCCTCACCTTTTTCCAGAACCCGGTTCTTATTGCCTTATCTTTCTTTGATTTCGACCGGCGAATCCTTCCTGTGCAGGTCACTTTTGGAGAACCCGGTTCAGTCACTCGCATCATCATCTTTCTTATCGGTTCAGACCGGCTTCTTGTGAACCGGAATTTTGAATTTGACACCTTGTTGACCCGGAGATTTCCATCGGCCGAGAAAGATTTTCGAGTTTTTGGAAGTGCAAAAAATGATGTTTTTGGTTTTTGGTTTAGAGATGAGAAAGAATGGTAAGACAAAAGTGCCTTGGAATTTTTCTTGGACTTGCATGAAAATGCAAACTTCATTGAGCTTTTCCTTTGCATGGCTGCATTTTGATCAAACCAATAACGTTCAGAATCTTTAGAAAGCCAAAAAGAATCCGGTGGATCATAATCAGAAAAGCTCGTCGGAGAATTCTTCATGACATGTTCTTTGCCTTCAATGTTAGGGTTTGCTAGATGAGGTTGCTGAGACATAACGCTAGTGACAGAATCTAGAATTTAGACGTTGTGGTTTTTGAATTGAAGGCTGAAATGTATATATGTCTATAATTGTTTTTCTCACATATACTTAAAAAAAAGATCGAAGTACTAAATTCTGCCAAACCCGTAAACTTGTGATTGGATTAGACACTAATTCAACTTGTGATGGATGTCTCAGTCTCACGGATATATCCTGCTACACTCGTAATACTATACTTGTAGTTACCAAAAAATAATCGAATCGTAATAACATAAGCGAGAATGAGCGAGGTCTTGTCAAAGTCAGGCCTAGTAGTGGTGCTTGCAGCTTTCTGGCCTTTCAAGCTCTTATATATCCTTTAAAGCTTGATGGTTTCCGAATTCTTTTCACATAGAAAATATTGTTGATATTTACAAAAACTTCAACTTAGAAGGGGGTAGGCTTTTTGATGAAAAAATCTTTTTTGTCTTGTAGATAAATTATGAATGTATTGTGAGAGAAAATATAGACAAAAGAGATAGATATAAAGAGAAGAAGAGGGAGGGGTGGTGTTGGTGGTTGGCTAAGACTAGTGGTTTAGGCCCCACAAATTTGGGGGACCCATTTCCCAATAGTTGACTAGGTATATAGGGAGTAGTTAGTACGTAGTTCTTTCTTATTTATATAAAAATATTTAATTAAGATAAAAAGGTATAAAATTTTGATAAAAAGGAATAGAATTTCTGGGTATAAGTGACTGGGTTTACTTATTTTTTTTCCTTTCACACTATAACGTATTCTTTAACTTCTTTTCTCCATTTTTCCACAAAAACTGTTATTAGGTACAAAATCAAGGCTTGAAATGCATTGAAAGGTATATTGCATATTCTTCTTCGTTCAATCTCGGGCTTAAGCAGTGCAACAAGAATTGAAGCAGTGAATTATCAACATCTACAATTAGGTTCCATTATTCTTGCTTTGTATTTTTTTAATCCAAATATTTTGATTACTTTTACTTGTTAGGTATATTACTAATTATATATAAAAAAATTATAAAAATTATAGGCCTATTAAAGTTTTGGTTTAGACCGCCCAAGTTCTTGGGTGGAAAAAAAGATTGAGTGTTTCCTACATCGAAAGTGACAAGAATTCATGATCATAGTTGTTGCAATAAATGAGTCAATGACGGACGACTAGCGTTAACTACCAGGATAAATGGGATATTTTAGCTCGAAATGTACATTAATTAAAACATTTTTTTGCTGTTTGAAAAGGACATGTTTGTTGCCAAGCAATCATGCATTGGAGAAAGTCTTTGCAAAAAAAGGTGGCTGCATTTTAAACGAGGTACTCGTGTTCTGTTTGTTTAAGGATTCAAATAACTGGTCAGATAAAAATGAAAACTATGTCTTTTGTTTTGGTTTTTGGCTAGCCGTTGTTTAGCATGAGGTTGTGGCTGCATTTTTTAACAAGGATATATATACATATATACTTTAACCCTGGTGTATTTGGTATGATATTATTTTAGAGAAACATATATATTATATCAAATGTTACCAAAAAATTTAGACAAACAGTAGTTTTGATACTGTGTAGTGCAAGTGTAGGACCTCTGTCCAGACTGCATACAGAGGCAGACCGACGTTGCTGTATGGGTCAAAATCTGCCTCAGTGGGATTTAGCATGAAGCAGTATCGTAGAAAGCGATATGGTCGAGGTCGATT